CATTTAAATGTAGCATCTGGTAAACCTGTTTCTGGGTCTGGCGCTGGTAGTTGGAATTTAAAGAAAAATGAAACATCTCCCTTAGCAGCACGCTTGATTACCGCAAAAAATATTGCGCGACCACAATTGAAATTTAAAGTTGCCGTGGACAACAGTGCACTGACACCTTTCATTCCCAGAATAAAGGATAAACCAAATTCATTAAAACCCTTGGCAGTGCTACCAGAATATGATGAACATGGAAATATAATCAGGTAAGTGATATTAAAAGCAGTTTTATGCAGATACATATAGGTACTTATTTGTTTGTAGTTACTTACATCCGTATGAATTTGAGCTAATGAAATTGCAAATACCCGCATCTCAGTTGAAGCCCTCCAACCCTGTAGTGCCAGCAAAAATGGACGAAACTGAGCTCTTATATGTAGACACAATTCCCAAATTGAATACAGCCGTAAAAGAGTTACGTCAGCACCGTGAAATAGCCATTGATGTGGAACACCACTCATATCGTACATTTCAGGGATTCACTTGCCTTGTGCAAATCTCAACACGTGAAAAAGATTATCTATTTGATGCTTTAGAGTTGCGTGATGAAATGCACATACTCAATATTGTGTTGACGGATCCAAAAATAGTTAAGATATTTCATGGCGCTGATATGGACATTGAGTGGCTACAGCGAGATCTTTCATTGTACGTAGTGAACATGTTCGACACACATCAAGGAGCAAAGGCACTAAATTATGCCCGCTTATCCTTATCATACTTACTCAAACATTATTGTGACATTGAGGTTGATAAAACATTTCAATTAGCCGATTGGCGCATTCGCCCACTACCAAAAGAGTTGGTATCGTATGCCCGCCAAGACACACACTATCTTATTTATATTTTCGACCGTATAACCAATGATTTGCTCGAAGCCGGAAGTCGGCAAACAAATTTGCTACAAAACATTTACCAACGCAGCACCGAAATTTGCAAGAAACGCTATGTTAAGCCACATGTGACAGCCGATTCGCACATGGATATTTATCGAAAGTCGAAACGTATTTTCGACAATCGCCAACTTTATGCATTGCGTGAAGTATTTCAATGGCGTGATTCAGTTGCTCGACAAGAAGATGAGAGCTATGGTTATGTCTTACCTAATCACATGATTTTGCAAATTTCCGAAAGTTTGCCCCGTGAAATGCAGGGTATACTTGCGTGCTGCAATCCCATACCGCCTTTGGTTCGGCAAAATCTACACGTGCTGCATCAAATAGTGCTGCGGGCGAGGGAACAGCCACTGGTAAAAGTAAGTAGCAGGATTTTTGTTTTCGTCTGTTTTATCTATACATACTTCTCAATTGCAGCCCGTGTTTGAGACAGAAACGATACATCGCGTTGTAAGCACTAATTCCAAGGATTACAACAGCAAGTTGTATTGTCCACACGACCTTTCCCATAACGAAGAGTTTCGCGATGATCTACCAACGTTGCTTAGTTTCCGCAACAACCCCATACTGCCGTCGCCTGCTGAGGTTAACGTAAGATTGGCAAAACCTGTTCTAAGCATTTATGAAACACCGGAGCCTTCAGATGAAGTAAGCTTATATGTGCGTAACTACTTGTATTGCAATATTTCTGAAACTATTTTTTAAATTTTCAGGATGAAGACCAAAGAAAACAAAAACAACTGTATAGTAATATTAAGTTTGTTAGTCCGTATCAGCGCTATTTGGCCGTGTTACCGTTGGTCGAGAAAGAAAAGGCAGAAGAAGCTGCACGCATTGAAGCTGAGAACAAAAAACGTCAGCTATGCCCGGCTGCAAATCCACTACTTGCCAAAACGGAGGTAAGGAACTAATTGCACCAGTGTTTGGTGGTTATTTTGATACAAGATTTTTGTCCTATTAGATGGAAATTAAAGTAGAATCTGCTGATGATGAGTACAGTTTGCCAATAAAAGAAATACTAAAACGTACACATGAGGAGGCAATTGCGAAAAAGAGTAAGGCGATGGATCCAGAGGAGCCCAAGGCGAAACGCTTCAAAACTGTAACGCCTATCGATGATAAACTAAAGTTTGTTAATTTGCCACCCACTAAACGAGAATTACAAGCTAATAAACATGCGGCAAAAAACACAGAAATCAGCACTGCCGATACAAAAACAAAACAGTCTGCTGCCTCAAACACTGCTAATGAATCTTACAACTCTGTGCAAACAATTAGTGATGACTCGGATAGTGCACCCGAAGAGATGCCATCTACGTCGCAAGCCTATACACAGCAAAGAGTGCCACAGAATCCACAGATTGGCAAAAAGAAGTTTAAGAATAAAAATATGAAAAACCGACAAAACAGTAATCAATCTTCTAATAAGCCCATAGACGTCGTTAAAAGTTTTGACTACAAAAATGTAGACTTTAAAAAATTTCAAGGAGGAGCACAACGTGCTAAGGGAATGGAATTAAAACCACAGTTTCATGGAAAAGTAAGTTGTATTTTATGACTACAATGTTTTTAGCTATTATTTAATACTTGCTTTTATTTTCAGAGCAATTCAAATAAGGCAAATAACAAAAAGTTTAATAAATTATTTACATTCAGCAATGTAAGAGGTAAAAAGTAGCCATCTGACTATTAGGACTGCGTAGCACTTTCCCCTAGTTAACTATCTGCGCTAGAATTCTTGGACGTAAAACGATTTGTGAAATTTCTTTTATAATTTACAATATTTTTTATTATATTTTATAAAACTATACTAGAGTGAAGTGTGAAAATATTTTCTTTGCGGTAAAATACAATATTTCCTTAGACTTAAATATCTACAGTTCTATGCATCTACGCAAAAAATAGGTTCTGAATTTTGTATTTAACACATATGTACATAAATTACTATTATTTTTTCCATTTTCATTAATTTAAGTTTAATTATAGCTGTTTAAACATTTTATCACCTTCTCTGTCCATACAATATTCGACGACTGCATAAACCACTAAAAGTCTGCGTTCCACGCCACGTTTATGCTTATCTGTAATCAGCGGAAAGAGCGCATCATGCTTGGAAAGACGATCAATGAGCTCAGTGAGCACGCCACCGGAAAACACTTGCAGTCGATCCCACGTTGATTTCCGAATTCTATTAAAATTCAATTATTAAATGCAGTGATTTACATACATGAGGGAAAAAGTGTACTTACAGACAGCACTGATACAGTGGTGCTAAAATATCCAGGTGGTCTTTGTTTGGATTTCCAAACGCTTTACCATTGTCTATGAGCACTAAACGTTCTTCCCGCGTCTCGTAGTGATGGCGATCGCCGTTTTGTATTAGATAATCAAATATTGCCGCATCGATAAGGTCTAATAACCGAATAGTTTCCATTTTGTCCTTCAGTGATCTGATTTTATCAAGATTATATTATGTGTTTATTAAAAAAAAACACATTAAATACACTTTATTTCTTTCCGCTTTCCACTTACTTGCAATAGGTCATGTCATCTTCCCAAGGTGCGCGTTTATCGTCTTTGTACGTTCGCTGCCATGGCGATCGACGCTTAGACAATGAGCCCGGTATAATATATATTAGCACGCCCTCTATGTTATTATTCTCATCGCCGCACACCGTTTCCTCTTCATTGCAATAGTGACATTTTCCAAAAAGACAATAATGTTCGGTACCATTTTCCCCTTCTGTGATTGTCATTGAATTTTTAAGTTCGTTATCACCCTTGTCATATAGATCTGTCTTCAAATTAATCACTCTTCCTACAACTATGGGTGTCCACCTCAAGTCCAATACAGCGCCTAAGTAAAAGGCATACACTTCCGCTGTATGCCGATCTTTTCCAGCATATACGGGGCCATCGATTACTGCATCACGTTCATACCACTGCGGTTTAAAGATAATTTTTTGCTTATTAGCTAAACGCACCAGCAATTTCAGTTGTGTGCCTCTCGCCAAATTAGTTACTTTAGTGAAGGGTTCGAGGCGCAATGTCTGCAATAGTTGAGCCATAGATGGGTCGTAGAGTGGATAGATTTCATTTTCTTGTGGCCACTTAAGACATAAATGAGACAATAAATAAATTATGTGAATTTTAATTATACATATGTATGTATGTATGTATGTATATATACCCAGTTCGCAATATCCCAGAGGACAGATGCATTTTCATATGGGGCCGGTTTATAGTTTTTCAATAATTTATTTCGATACATAAAAAGTCGTGGATTCCGATTCAAATATGCTGGATGCAGTTCGCGTATCTTTTGGCGTATCATATTCTCCAAAGCGCGTGTGCTGCTTACATGAGGAACTTCTTCTGCGTTTAAATAGTACATGAAGTAGAAATTGGCGCCAGCAACTAGACACACGAGACTCACCAGAGCGACAACTATGCCCACAGTGCGTTTGTTTGCAGCCATTGTAACGTTTATGTTATTGTTGCAGAGTTAAAAGTGGTGGTAATCTGTCAGAAAATAATTGAAAACCATACGCCACTTATTTTAGCAAAAATTAGACTGGATCACTAATTTTAGTTTGGTTTTTGTTCTCCAGACGCCACTATCCAATTTCTATGTAGAATTGCTCGGTCTTTCCGAAAGTCGAGTAATTTTTTCTATGGATGCGTTTTCGAGATATTTCCAATTTACCGTTATTCAGCTTAAAACGAAAAATGGTTCCACCTACTCACGTATATCTTACGAACCAATATATCAATCTTTAAAATGAGATAAGTCAAATAAATGCTAATAAAATTCTCCATAATCTATATATATGTACTTCACTTTCTGATAGGACTGATAGTTACTGACAAATTAAGTAATCATTCCAGTTTTGTTTTTATTTTTTAATAAAAACATGAAAAAAAAACAAACTTTAACAGAACTAAAATTTAAGAAATAACAGGTCCAGTGCCAGATTTTTGCATTTGTGCTAAAGCCTGTTTCGGGTGTACGTGGCGTATGAGTAACTTTCATTCCTGCTAATTGTTCATACAAAAAATCGGAGTGTATTTTCTTTTGACCGCTCATTACTTCTTTATGTATCTATTGCTTTTCTTCCTTAGTAACTTGATTTTTTTTTGTAACAGAACAGGCTTTAGCACAAACGCAAAAATTTGTCGCAGAACCAGTTATTTTTTAAATTTTTCTTCTGCTAAATTTTGATTTTTTCAAATTTTTTTACTAAAAAATTAAAAAAAGTGGAATGATTAATTAATTTGTCAGAAAATATCAGTCCTATCGTAAAGTGATGTATAAATGTTTTATATTTATGGAGGATTTTATTAGCCTTGATTTGACGTATCTCATTTTAAGATTGTTAAATTGGTTCGTAAGATATACATACGTGATTAAGTGAAAATAATTTTTGGTTTAAACTGAATAACGGCAAATTGCAAGTATCTCGACAACGTATCTATGGAAAAAAATAAATCGATTTTCGGAATCAGCGAGCAATTCTACATAGAAATTGGATAGTGTCATCCATTGAACATTTTTGCTCTAAACCAGTGCTAGTAGTGATCCATTAAATGTTACTTATACGCAATATGTGACCAATAATCATTAAATACTCGCCTTTCATCAAAATATCCCGAATAGCGATTCTCTTTAAACGCCTTTTCTTATTCCTCTCGCATTTATTTAAAAATGTATTTAAGTGGCTGGCCGGAGTTCAAAATTATAGGTATGAGAAAAGGCAAACTCATAGCGGAAGCAAACGAAAATTTCTGCAACAAATTGCAAATCTGTGTCTCCCTACGTCTTCTTGTCTATGAATTTTCGTTTACAATATTAATATTTGTTTATATTGTCTACGCGCCATCACCACTGAAAGCGTCACAAGACGCGATGTTTGTCGGCAGCTGCTGATAGTTGGCTCTCTACGTCGTTGTCTTGATTTTGTCCTTTAGTCGCTTTCTGCCGATGACAAACTCATCAAAGTTTAGCTAATAATAAAGGCAACAACAAAGTGATTTTTTTTAGACTTTTTCGACCCTTAAAATAATCTCTCGCTTTTTCACGATTTCGCTTGTTTGCTGCGTTTTGTTGGCGTATGCAGAGGTGAAGTGTTAAACGTTTCAAATAACTTATTTTTAATTTAAATTTTTAACTCGGTGACGGGCCTTTATATGATTCTATTATGCTCATATGCATTGGCAAATATACGTGGCGTAGTGATTGGCGAGCAGATTGTATTGTTCCTTTGTTGTTGAATTCTGCCTTGGGGTGGTGACCAATTTTTTGCCATATGCTGGGGAATATTTATAAGCATAAGCGATTTAACATAATGAGTTAGTTTGGTGCTGTTATGTGACGTAGAATGATTGAAAAAATTTTAGATTCCCTATATTTTTGTCATTAGGTTTGCCTTTAAGCGCATTTTTTATTGGCACGCATTTATCAAACACATTGTATTTAAATAATCGTCCACGTTCATAAATTCTCATACACATTCACTGACGAGGAATTTAGCTCGGATACAAACTGTATGTAAAAAAATTATGTAAGAGCATTTTTAAGTTAATAAATTAGTTGGCACACAAAAATTTTACAACTTCTAATTAGTTAACACACGAGTACAGTATTACTGGTCCTCCAGCGCCTTTTATTGCGTTTTAGATTGTGCTGTACACAGAATTAGAACTTCACTCTAAATAGTACTACAAATGCCCGTACATATTTTACTAGTTATACGTATTGGTACATCCAATAAAGGTCAATCTTTCAAAAAGCCTTTTATAATAAAAAAAAACAATAAAACGATATACTATGTACATATTTTACGTACCGCTGAGAACATCTAAATGCGTTAACGTGTGGCACACTTCTGTGCGGCCCAACTAATTTTAAAGCGTGCTTGGTGCGCTCTATTGCCCATAGAAGATATTTTCTGGTGAGCGTCGCATTGCATGGGACCTACTTGCCGTTGTCTGCGTCGACGTTTGCGTTTTGTTTTGATTTTGAAATAACTCATTAATTATGGCACTTGACTTCAATTAAATTAAATTCTATTGTAACAAAATTTGCCGAATGTTCGCTTGGTTGCTGGCAAGACAAAACATTAATGCGTATGCAACAGCTGCCACGGACGCAGCGACAGCAAACATTTCCTCTAATGCAAAGACAATTAGTAATTGGCAAAAGACAGCAGAGCCTACTGTCGGGCAAGTTGTCGCTGCTCACAGCCAACAAGCGATGTCGTGCCCGAATGCGCCCCCTGCAGATGCTTCTAGCCCCACATGCTTTTCTGCAGTAGTTCTGTAAAAATTACATTAAAAATCACAAATAGAACGTGATGTATGTATGTACGTATTATCAAAACTTTTGTTTATATTTCAATTTATGACGTATACAACACCTGCCTTTAGGACAATTCCACCAAGGTGCTCGGCGCTGTGACGGTGACGCTTGCAATATCGCGTGTGCAGACAAGTGGAGCGGCGTGCATCCGGAGAGACTCGAGCGCGCCAAAAAACATTCCCTTCTTAATAATTTCAACACTAGCCACTCGGCAAGAGCATTCGAATGCAAATGCTATGTAAATATTACTTAGTTTTCTAAAAATAAATTGTTTATAGGTGTTTTGTTAGTCGTTTGTGTATAATTTGATCAAAATAAAATTAATAAACTCTTCCCGCAAATCAGCTGTGTTTTATTTTGATTTACAATTTTTGGGCGCTGCCAGACTGGCTAATATTATTTTTTCATTTGAGCGCTAGTCTTGTACGTGCAGATTGTTTCATAGAAATTGTTCGTTCGCTTGCTTTAAGAGTGTTCGCTATACAAAAAACGTGTACAAGTTGCACGTACCAAAAATACAAGATCGCGCAAGAACGCGACGATTTATTTGTAACTGGTTTTGAGAAAAAAATTCGTGGAAGCGGTTCATCAGCTGAGCATTTGTTTACATCACAAGCACAGGGGAAACCATCCATTATGGCCGTTCGTTAAAGGTGCGGTGGGCGAAGGTTCGTGGCACCACCAACCGATCTTTTTGGAGAGGGCATGACAAAAATGCAACCCCCGAGCACCTAGGCCCCCTATGGTTCCCTACGGACCTTAGAAAAATGGCCAAAAATCGAAATTTTTACTTGCGTCTACAGTATTTTTGCGTAGAATTCCTTTCTGCGTAGGCGGCCTTCGGCCGCGCTCAAGGATTATTACCCTTACTATTTAGAATTCTCCTTTCGGTGTGATGTAACCTTGGGAAAGGATGAGGTAACTAAAATTCCCTCTTTGTGTGGTAAACCTGGGGCTGCCGCCCCAGTGATGTCTATTTTGGTCACTGGGTGTTTCATAAAAATGTCTTGTATATAAAAATGTATTGTGCAAATGAATATTTAACATTTTTCAAGCGAATAAACGCAAATGAAAATTGTGATTTTGGCAATTTTTCTAAAGAATCCCTAGAGAACCATAGGGGACCTAGATGGTCGGGGGTTGCATTTTTGTCAATGGCGGTTTATTTTCTCTCCAAAAAGGTGGGTTAAAGGTGCCGCGCCTACTTACCTTTCGCCTGCCGCCCCTTTAACGAACGGCCATAAAGGAAAGTCAACCCCAAGCACTAGGGATGGGTAAATTCAATATTCGAAGCTTCGATATTCGAATTTTAGCTCCAAAATGGCGAATTTTTGAAATCGAACTTTGTGTTGCTAAAATTCGCATAAAATCGAATTTTTCTAGAAAAAGTCGAATTTCATATATATTTCCAAAAAAATCATTTCTTCAACTTTCTTGTTTCCGACTAAATTTGCCATCACTGTGTGTGGCACTCCATTTGTCTTAGGGATGCAAGCAAAAAATACATGTTTTTCGATCTGATGCATCGAGACAAAAAATCTGTGCCAAGAAAGAACTGTTGTTCTTAAATTAAAAAAAAAATTATAAAAAGTACTTTTTTTGTTGATTTTTTATTTTAAATTTGTAGAGGCTTTTACGTTGGTAGCACGAAGCTTTTGCCTGAGAAGACCCCTAGTAAAATTTTCCGGAGTATAATTTTCTAGTGTACACCAGTTCTCTAATGCCCTTCCAAATTTGCTTTTGCGGGATTTATTGAAGTAAGGATCAAAATTACCCTTTTAGGCGGGAGCTAATAGGTTAAAATGTTCTACGAAAATATTTCCCATGAAATTTTATTATATATGTCTTAACCTCTAATTTCGCTTAGACATTCATTTTAACTATTTTTTTGAAAACTACTTTGGCCAAGACATGAAAACTTTAGTAGGCCATGAAATTCGACTTTTGGCCGCCTAAATCGGCCAAATACCCCTCTATTCGGCGTTTGGAGGCAATAGATTTATTTCTATCGCTCTGCTGGGCGATGGCATGATCCAACCAAAGAACGTAGATAACAAGAAGGGACAACTCGTTATAATTGTGGCGAAAGTGCGCAACAGGGACGTGCCTTCTCTTTTCATCCAATCAAAAAAACGCACTAGGGCAAAATAGAAGGCACGCCCCTGTTGCGCACTTTCGCTACAATTATAACGAGTTGTCCTTCTTGTTATCTACGTTCCATGATATAAACTTTCTCCGCGGTGATATGAATACATAGGTATCAATGTTTCCACAATCGGACCTCGATACCATGGAATCTATCGATGTCATACTTCAAGCAACTTTGTTTTCCTTGTTTTGGTCGAATAGTTGGACATACTCCCACTCTATTTACTCGATTTTAAACATTTACAGTTTTAAATATTGTAACACGTCGTTTCTAAACATCTTGAGATAACATTTTCATACAAATAATTTTGGCCGCCTAAATCAGTCAAATACCCCTATGTGCGCCACCGAGAAAACTTCGCATTTCGCTTTGGCTGTCTTCAATTTCATATCGCAAACCATCTTCAAAAGAGTCACAACTCAAAATAATACGTTTGTCAGAAAATGCGAAGAACTACCTATTTCGTAACACAGTTTTTTTTTAACAAATTATAACAATAATTTGGTCCAGCTTTTGCTGAAAGGTAAGTAAAAACTCTGTGTACATTTTTAGCGCACAATTTCAAAAATGCCAAATTTTGAGTTGTGACCCTTTTGAAGACGGTGTGCGATATGCCGGCAGGAGTTCTAATTCTGACAGCGGGAACTTCGCTGTGGTGATCAGTGTTGCCATTTTAGCCGTTTTCCGGCTAGATTTAGCCGGTTGCGATAGAAAATAGCCGGAGAAAATTCGATTTAACCGGCAGCCGATTTGTTAGCGGTTTTGCAAAAAGAAGTTAGCAGTTTTTAGCCGATTTCGCTATTCGCCATATTTTATTAAAATTTAAATATAAGCTTCCATTTTAACATATTTGGCGACCTAAAATCTATTAGAAACTGCTAGCCTTATCTCGGAGAAGATTTTCATGTCGGACTGTGTTAAGTAGATAAAATTGAAAGAATTTTTGCTAATACGAAAAGTCTTAAAATACTGGGCCGATTTCAATGATATTTATTTTATTTAAATATAGTACAGTGACCCAAATATGAACTCGGACGCGACATTCAGGTTATTATTTTTTTTTAATGAAAGTTTTGCTGATTACTTACAAACATCATTTAAATCCAAATTTTATATTTTATTCAAAAACTAGCAAATGCCCGTTTCGGGGCTCTGGTAGGTTGTGCTTCATTATTTAATTTTTCTTAATTTCTATAAAAGAACATATAACAAATAACAATTTGACGTATTCGGTAGCGTCACTTGCAGTGACTGGGTAACGGCTCCTTGTTCCGTTAAGAGCCCCTTAGGCTGTAGTGGCGTGACTTTGGTACTGGCGCGCTGCTAGCGTCTATAAGCGGTGTTCTGGCCGCGTCGGTATGTAGCGCTCTTTCAAGGTGGGTTGCGCTCTAGTCGTGCCGGTGAATGGCGTTCTAACAACGCTGGTGGGTAGCGCTCTGGTGACGCCGGTATGTGGCGCTCTTGTAATGCGGAGAGTAGTGCTCTGGCCACGCCGATGTGTAGTGCTCCGGTGACGCCGGAGAGTAGCGTTCTAGTTGCGTCGAGATGTAGCACTCTCAGCAATGCACGTGAGGCGCACCGATGAGTGGTACTTTGGTGGTGCTGGGAGTAACGTTTTACTCGCGCCGTTGGGCGGCGCTCTGGCGACGTTGATAAGTGGCGCTCTATTCGCGCTAGTGACGCCGCTCTGCTGACGGCGGTGAGAAGCGCTCTTATAGGCGCTGTCGACGTCCCTCTGTTAACGGCGGTGCTAACTGCGGGTGTCGCCCGTACGCGGTTCCAGGAGAGGCTGTGGTGAGAGCGTGTAGCGCTGCCATTGGGAAGGTGACGTCCAGCCCGACACTCAAGCCGATGCAGAAGAAATCACCTTACCAGCAGCTGTTGCAGAAGTGGAATCAAGCCCGACACTCGAGCCGGTGCAGATGAAGTCACTTCTTACCAGTAGCCGTTTGTTCACGACCACAGTCTCGTCCTCACTGACTGTTGATCGGCTGTGTTTTATCTTTACAGGCTAACCTAATATCCGCGGCTTGCGTTTTGGTACGCACGCCGTAGAATTTTTTGTTTTGCGTCACCCGAAAATGGCTTGCGTGCGTTTGCATTTGATTTCATTGAGCGAAATGTCAAATCAAAATGTCACGCAGAACAAAAATTGGAAATTGAGTTAGCTTCATACGCGCGCCGTTCAATTTCGGTTGGTCGCATACAAAATGTATGTGCATGAGAAATTTTTGACAGTAAATTGGCGGCGTGCGTGAATATTAGGTTAGCCTGTTAATAGGCTTTGTGCTTGATGTTGCGTGGTCGCGCAGCTACATGTTGCTGTGTGATGTTGCGTTGTCATGGCACCGAAGATGCTGTCGGGTGTTGCCATGACTCGTGTTGCTATGACTTGTGTTGCTGGTTGTTTTGATGGCGGGTATTTGTGTGGGCCAAATTCCTCAGGGATATTTGGTCCTCACAATATAAACTTTGGCTTCGGTTGAAAGGTTAAATCCTGCTGTTCCACAGGAAGAACTAGTTTTCCCGCTCAAACGGGGTCATTCATGTTCCTATCGTGCTCTTTTTAATTCGTCCCACTTCTTGATATACCCATGAGCCGTTGATGTGTCTAGGACATCTGTGGCGCCTTAAAAATTTGCGCGTCTTTGTATTCATACTTAAAGGATGGGGCTTTATTGAGCCATCTAAAAAGTTTTGTAGAGCGGTATATAAATATCTTGATTCCAGCGCCATCTACTTTTTGGGTACGTTTTTTGCTGAAGCACTTCTTATCAAAAATACCCGTTAACCCAGGTAGTACGATAA